TTTATAACTATGGTGGATATAAATCTGAGCAAGATTAGCCCTTGTCTTCAAGTTGTTCAGAACCTACTAGGGAAAATAAAATACACTGAGTGGCCAGATTATTATGGTCTCTGTTAGAGGCCCTGTGCATGAATTCGTGCATGGGTGGGGTCCAGCCAGCCTGATCAGGAAGAAGGGACATGGGTGGTTGGCCGGCCTGCCTGATGGTCAAACTCCTGGTCAAGGGGACAATTTGCATATTAGTCTTTTATTATATAGGATATACACTGAGTGGCCAGATTATTAGGTGTTCATAGATCATAATAATCTGGCCACTCAGTGTATATATGCAGATCATTCCGGACAGAGGTGAGAAGGGCTGTCGAAGAGAACAAAATTGCTTTGAGGGAACAGAGAGGGAGTAAGCCCTCGCTGTCTGGGTTATGTACGAGAACAGCTTTGTAACATTGTGCAAGGAGGCTTACAAAACTGGGTCCTGAAGGGGTGAGACCTCAGAGGCTGAGGAAAGGCATCTTCACAGCAGGGAAGGCATGAGCGATGGCAGGCAGGCAGCATCTGCTGCAGAACAAATGAAGGGAAGGGGTTTGATCTTGGGTAGAAGGGGCTGACTTACCTAAAACATGCAGAAACCAGACTATGGTTTCTAGGTGTGTGGGTCACCCCTGTTCCCTTCTAGCATAATCTTTTCTAGACATTACCCTATTGTTGGGCACTTGTTTCTTTCCTGATTCTTCCCAATAACAAAGCACAGAGGGATATTTCTGTGAGCATTTGAACATAGCCACACTCTTCCTTAAAATATATTCCTAGAAGAGCTGTAGACTACGGCTCGTCCTGCAGCCGTGGCTAACCAGGGAGCACTACATAGGCAGAAGGAGTACACTTGCTCCTCCTATACTCCCCAACACTTGGCAGTCACTTAAGATCTATCAATTTGATAGGCCAAAAAGAGTTGTTGGATGGCGGTTCTAATTTTCATTTCTTTGATTATTAATGAGGTGAAGCATTTTTGTCAAATATTAATGGTCATATAGACAACGCAAAAAATCCTTTAAATTGGATTTTATTAGTAAGACGTGAACTAAGAAGAAGGCATCCGACTCATTTTCATTTTGCTTCCTGGAATGAGATTGCTAAACTATTGATCTTGAAGCTACATCGCCAGGAAAATAAGGCAGGATGGCCTAATTTTCCCATTGATTGCATCTACCCTCATCTTCACTCTTTGTGTGACTGGGAACAGCTGGCCTTTGAAAATTGGCCCTGCACTAATACGCTGCACCAGAACCCCACTTCCAAGCCTTGTCTGAGGCCCTTTGAACTTTGACCTTTTCTCCCAGCTCTTTGAAACCTCATTAAAATGTATTCTTCTCTAAAGGCATGTCTTGCTTCAAATCTGTACTTATGTTTTCCTTCGATTAGGTTATAAGTTTTCTTGAGTGCAAGTTATTTTGTCATATTCACGTTATTCCCCACAATGCCACCTCCAGTGTTTTCAAATGGAAATAAATGTAACAGTTTAAAAAGTATTTATTTCCTTTTCTTGAAAACAATTCTCTTCTGTTGTCATGGGCAGATTTCTTAGTCTTGGAAAAACTTCCCCACACAAAAACAAATTTTTGAAAAAAAAGATATAACCAAATTAAATAGCACAATGAATTAAATAATGCCTTCATATACTAGCAACACCCAAAAAGTATATTTTTCTCCTTTTTTTAAATTTATCTTTATTGTTGGAAGTATTACCATTACCAATGTCCTCCCTCTCTTTCCCCATTGACCCCCTCAACCTCACACCTGCACCCCACCCCCAGGTATTTTTCTCCTTTCTAGAAACTTTCCGCTTTGAGGGGAAACTATCTTTGAATCATTAAATTATTTTGTATTCTACTAGAAACAAATAAATACATATTTTGAGTTATTTATTTTTTAATTCACAAATGAACTCAGATATTTCTATATATAAGGAACATTGATTTAAAAGTCCAGATTGAAGTGGTTTCTACACATACTCCATGTTTTATTTCTTCACTGAAAAGACACCAGCGTTTCTGAAACCGAGCTTTAATAGCATACTTAGAAGGGAATAGTTGCCAGCTGACTAGCAATTGATTTAATGTTCCATCATCTCCATGGTTCAATCACGCCTACCATGGTGAATCAGTTGGAGCATCCTCAATGAACCAATAAATGAGCAATTTCCCCACCAAAGGGAGATGTTTCCTGTGTGGCAAAGGCATACATAGCTTATCACAAACAACGTGAGGCTTCAGTGCAGCCCTGAAGTACCTGGAATCATCTAGCCTTCTGTTCTCAGTAATGGTTTGTCCTTCCAATCAGCACTTGCCACACCCCAGCTGTGTGTGTGTGTGTGTGTGTGTGTGTGCGCGCACGTATATGCTGTATCTCTGCCTGGGGTCAGAGACCATTTTTCAGACAGTTTATCATTTTCTATGGCATATACTAGGTGGTCAATAAGTATTTGTCAAATGAGAATCATATGCTAACAGAGCACAGGGCCAGAGTTTCCTGTGTGCCGGTGATTGTCAGCCCTGGATGCCCTTTGGAATCACATGGGGATCTTTTTCAAAATTACCCAAGTCTCATCCCAGAGCTGTGATTTATTTGGGGCTAAGCATGCTACCCAGACCCTGTGTTTTAAAGACTTTGCAGGTAATTCTAATGAAGAGCTAGTGGTGAGAATCACTGCTCTAGCCATTGTGATAGAGAAGACAGGCAGGCAGATCAGCAATTGGTTGGGAAAAGTACTATCATTTTGTTTTCTCTTAGGGCAGCCGTTCTCAAAGCGTGGTCTCCGCAGCAGCAGCAGCAGCAGCAGCAGCAGCAGCAGCATAATCCGGCAAAAAGCCCTCAAGTGACTCAGATGCCTGCTGTAGTTTGGGAACCACCACAGTAGAGAAATAGGTTGAATTAAAATGTCTTAGAGAAATTGATTTCAAGTATATTCAACTCAAAACATACGTCAGATTATGCTTCGTGAAACAACTCTTCTGGCCCATAAAATATTTTTTATTTTATTGATTTCAGAGAGAGAGGGGAAGAGAGATAGAAGAATAGAGAAATAGAAACATCAATCAGCTGCCTCCTGCACGCCCCCTACTGGGGATCAAGCTCGAAACCTCCAGCATGTGTCCTGACCAGGAACTGAATCAGTCACCTTTGGTGCATGGGTCAAAGCTCAACCACTGAGCCACTCCAGCCAGGCTGGCCCAAAGTTTTTCTAAGTATTATCCTTTTGCCACCTAAAAGAAAGTGAGTGTCAGCATGCACAGTATAAAAATTTTCTGTTAAGACAGTACAGCAGTGCTAACTAGCATATCCTACACAGAAAGAAGCACTTGGCCGGGCAGGGGGCAGCAACCACATTTTATCCACTCCTTCCCATTGCCCTGTGCTCTGTGGTGGCCCTGAATGCTTAGGCAAGAGACCTGTTACTCAACTTTGGTTTCCACTCGTTATAAAATAAAAGGTGGCAGGAACTTCAAGCCACTTCCTAAACAGGTCTTCGGCGCTTCCGAAGAATCCAGGTCCAGAAGCCGTTGTTCCCAGACATGGGATCCTGAAGTCAGAATGAAGACACCCTCTGCCTGGCTTCCAAAATGTGCTTCCTCAGTGGATCTGACTCTGCCTTAGAGGGTCAGAGGCAAGAAGTACAGTGACAGTTGGTGGTGGCAAGAGGGAAGTGACAAAGGGAAACTCGGGGTTGGTGGCAACAGCAGAAGTGGTAACAGGCAGCACATGCTGTGGTGAGGGGTGAAGCCATGACTGTCACACCCAGCGTGGCAGGCGCCTGGGTGCCACACCTTGATCCAGATCCATGGAAGGGACAGGCAAGAGTTGTATTGCTGGTTTAAAAGTGATGAAGGCCTAGCACACAGTAAGGCTGGCTGGTAATGTGGGCCTCTCAGCACATTTCTCCAAGTGCAACCCTGTGCTGCCTGCATCCACATCACCAGGGGGCACTTGCTAACGCTGCAGCATTCCAGACCCCACCCCAAACCTATTGAAGCCGGATTTCTGAGGGTGGGAAGTCCAGGAACCTGCACAGGAGTCAAGTCCCTTGTGCGACTGTTCTGGCATCCCGTGATGATCTGACTTTCACAAAGCTGCCTGCACATAATCTTGTAGATTTGAAATTTGAAGCAACTTAACGTTCAATGTGGACTCTATGCAAAGAACTGCAGGAGATAACAAAATCAATCTTAAGCTATAGCCCCTTCCAAAGAGTAATTCACCTTAGGAGGACTGGTAGCAGTAGCAGTGGCAATAGCACTGACAGCCAAAACCGGTTTGGCTCAGTGGATAGAGCGTTGGCCTGAGAACTGAAAGGTCCCGGATTTGATTCCCATCAAGGGCATGTACCTTGGTTGCGGGCACATCCCCAGTAGGGGGTGTACAAGAGGCAGCTAATCGATGATTCTCTCTCATCGATGTTTCTAACTCTCTATCCCTCTCTCTTCCTCTCTATAAAAAATCAATAAAATATTTTTTTTAAATAGCACTGACAGATAAACAAACACACTCAACTGTGTCAAGGTAGGATGAGGTAGGAAAAGTGGATTTCAGATGAGAAAGATGAAACGCAGGGTTTCTGAAAGGCATTGGGAAGGAGATGGCATTTCAGAATTTTATTTTTTTAATTCCTCACCTGAGGATACTTTTTCCAATGATTTTTAGAGAGAGAGAGAGAGAAAGAGAGGAAGAAGAAGGAGGAGGAGGAGGAGGAGGAGGAGGAGGAGGAGGAGGAGAAGAATTGATGTGAGGGAGATACATCGGGGGCCAGGATTGAACCTGCGACTGAGGTACATGCCCTTTGACCTGGAATCAAACCCACCATCCTTCAGTCCAGGTCTGGGCTCCAACCACTGAGCAACTGGCCAGGGCTCAGTATTTTTTAACAACTTTTTTTCCTAAAACAGGAATGCATATATAACAGTAGTCTGTGTTACTTGCAGACATCCGAGGTCATTTTTAGAGGAATGGGGAAGATTTCAACAGGAACTGGAAAGAGCGGGTTCCAGTGCAGGAAACAACAGAAGCAGTGCCCTGTATTGACTGGTATTTCTGCCTTCTCTGGAATTTCTTAGTGAGAATCCTCAAGGACCTTCGACTTAGAAAGCAGGTTCCCTTTCAGCTAGCTGGTGCTAATTTACATTTATTGCATCCAGTGATTTTATTTTTTTTTTATAACTTTCTTCTGGTTCCAGAGGGTGTATAAAATTGGGGTATCAAATAATACAGACAAATAATGATAAGACATAATGTTGCTTTAAGGAAAAGAGTAAAGATTTCTGCAGTTCACTTTGAAATGTGTTTTTAAAAAAATAAGGTAGAATGAATAGATACATAATAAACAAGCTTTATAAAAAGGTAATGGCAGAATCTAGGTAATGGGTATACAGGTGTTCCCTGTAAAAATCAATGTTGCTGTGTTTCTGAATTTTTTAAAATATATTTTTATTGATCTTAGAAAAGAAGGGAGAGGAACAGATAGACACATCAATGATAAGAATCATTGAGGGTTCCGCCACCCCCCCCCCCCCCCCCCCCCGGGCAGGCAAGGGCCGCAGCCGCTGGAGGGGGCGCCAGCGGAGGGCCACCGGCGGGGCCCATGCAGTTACCGGGCCTTGGCACCCGCGCCCTGGGCCTCCTGGTTCTGCTCCTGCTGCCGCAGCCCCGGCTCCCCGAGGCCCAGGCGGGCGGGGAGGGCCGCTGGGGAGGCGCGGCGCTGTGGGCACCCTCATCCCGCCCCACTGGGGGAGGCCGCCGGGACCCTGCGGCGAGCCCGCGGGCGTTAACCCACCCAGCGGCGATGGCCCTCCAGACCCCGCCCGTTCCAACCACAGGGCCGGCAGCGTCCACACCGCCAGCATCGCCCGCTCCAACCGCGGGGCCCACAGCGCCCACAGCGCCCGCATCGCCCGCTCCAACCGCAGGGCCCACAGCGCCCACACCGCCCGCACCGCCCGCTCCAACGACAGGGCCCGCAGCGCCCGCACCGCCCGCTCCAACGACACGGCCCGCAGCGCCCACACCGCCCGGGCCCGCACCGCCCGCTCCAACGACACGGCCCGCAGCGCCCACACCGCCCGGGCCCGCACCGCCCGCTCCAACGACACGGCCCGCAGCGCCCGCACCGCCCGCTCCAACGACACGGCCCGCAGCGCCCACACCGCCCGCTCTAACGACACGGCCCGCAGCGCCCACACAGCCCGCACCGTCTGCTCCGACGCAGCACCTGCCTTCAAGCTGCGGCCACCAGACCACGAGGGTGGTGGGCGGCCAGCCGGCCGCGGAGGGGCGGTGGCCCTGGCAGGTGAGCCTGCGGGTCAAGGACCACCACATGTGTGGGGGCTCCCTCATCGCCAACCGCTGGGTCATGACCGCCGCCCACTGCATCCACGGCTACATGGATTACATCTTGAAGGTGGGGGGCATACACGTGAACCCGGCCTCCAAGAACGCCATCCAAGTCCCGGTTCGTGACATCGTCATCCACCAAGATTTCAGGATGTTAACAACCGTCGAGAACGACATCGCCCTGATTTTGCTCCAGTTCCCCGTGAATTATTCCGCCCACATCCAGCCCGTGTGCTTCCCCGAAAAGAGGTTCATGGTGCCAACGGACACGGACTGCTGGCTGACGGGATGGGGTAAACTGAAGGAAAAAGATTCAAAGGAGGCAGTCCCTGAGTTGCTCCAGGAGGCTGAGCTAAAGATCATCCGCCATGAGAAGTGTAACGAGATCTTGAAGAAGAAGTTGGGCACCCGGTTTGACCTGGTCAACAAAGGGAGTGTCTGTGCTTTAAGCGAACTCGGGAAGGACTCCTGCCAGGGAGATTCTGGGGGCCCCCTGGTCTGTGAGTTTAATAACACCTGGGTTCAGGTGGGGATTGTGAGCTGGGGCATCGGCTGTGGTCGCAAAGGATACCCTGGGGTTTACACCGAAGTCAGTCTCTACAGGGACTGGGTCATTGACCAGATGAACCTGGCTTCCTCGCACGACTCCGCAGGCCTGTCCGCCCTGCCCCTGTGCCTGGTGCTGCCCCTGGGCGTCCTGGTGACCTTGTGACCACAGGCTGCTCCCTCCTGTCTCTGAGTCTCCCTTCAGGCCTCTCCTCCCACCTCCCTCTCCTCGGTGTCCTCCCCTCACATTCCCGTTGGGACCCCCCGGCCCTGTGGAGCCACACAGCAGAGAGTAGAAGTGAAACTGGAGTTCCCGAAAGTGTCCCCGCCGTGCTCCGGTCCCTGGCCCCGGCCCGCCTACACCTGCTGAGAGGGAGGCTGAGACCATCTAGCTCGGGGCCAGCTGGCCTGCCCAGCAGAGAAGTGCCCCATGGACGTGCATGGACGTCTCAGAGGTTCACCGAGGAAGAGACACCATCAGTGCTGGACACCATCAGACCCAGTGGTTTCAGGCCTTGCCGTGGTGATTGTCCAGAGAGTGAGTGAGGTGCCACCTGTCCCTGCTGTGCTGTGATTTCCACAGGATTCAGTGGTGGGGTGGGGAGAAGGTCCCTGCACCCCATGTGGATCCACCGTGAGTGGCCAGCCTCTGGTACGTAAGTCTCCTGGGTCAACCTGGTCTTGGAACCCTCTCCCTCAGTGCCCCGGTGGCCACATCCAGGCTTACCCCACGTTGTGCTGAGACAGGAAGGAGTGCTGAGATTCTGATGTCAGTGGAATAAATGTTTGGAGAATGTCTTGTGTGTTCTGAAGTCCCTGGACTCTGTGGGTTAATCAGGGGTCCTCAAACTTTTTAAAGTGGGGGCCAGATCACGGTCCCTCGAGAGCTGGAGGGCCGGACTATATGAACTACTAATTCCTACTGTAACACCTCGGCTGCGCTCACTGCCCAAAAAACCTGGCGTGCCGGATCAGACTCCTCTGCGGGCCGCATGTGGCCCGCGGGCCGTAGTTTGAAGATGCCTGAGTAGATGTACATGCTTAACATATTGATGATGAGTATAAATGATGAGATTAAAAAAAAAAAGAATCATTGATTGGCTGCCTCCTGCATGCCTCCTACTGGGCGTGCATGTGCCCTGACCAGGAATCAAACCGTGACCTCCTGGTTCACAGATCAACCCTCAACCATCAAACCACACCAGTTTGGCATGAAATGTTTCATAATAAAACGTAGGAGGGAGGTAATGTTTTGCTTGCATGGGTCCACGTGACTTTGAACAACTTTCCACTTGTCTGGATTCACTTTGCTCTGCTATCAAGGCAGTTAAACTAGCTCATCTCCATGTTCCCTTCTGATTCACAAAGACTCTCATTCCTTCTTCCCTCCTGGCCAGGAACACAAGGGTTACTCCCTGGGAGAAGCAGTCATCTAGCCTGCCAGGACTTAGCTAATAGAGATAGTTAATCCTCCTCAGAGCACAGCAGGGATGACCTAAGGCTGGCCCAGACACAGCCACCCTGCCGTCGGTGGTTCTAGAGCAGGTGCTGTGCGAGTCAGACCTTGAAATTTGTTTTGCAGCCTACCACCTGTTGCTGTGATTGTGTGGCTGTTTTCCTGGCTTATGGGATTTTACTTCAGCTGTTGTTCTCAGGCGAGAGTTTATTTCCTCTAGGAATCTACACAGTTCACTTGCCCTAAACTTAGCATTTGTATGTGTGGATCTTCCGGTGACTGATTCAACTATGCAACGCTGAATCGTCTGCCAAGAGTCCTCAAGTCACCCACAGACTCCAACAACAGATTTTTAAGGGGCCAAAGTAAGAATCCTTTTTCAAGTCTTTTGTTGCAGATAATGATCTCTTTGAATTTTGCTCCGGGAAGAAGTAGCACAGTGTCAGATTTATAGTTGCCCCTGACTTTTATTTTTTTTTTCCTGCTAACAGACGGCATTGTGTTGAGTCAGCACTTCCCTGCCATTCAGTGCTTTGCTGAAAATTCTTGTGCCTGTAACATTTTACTGCAGGCTAACATTTGCAGACAAGACTTCATTTTTCCCGGGTAGTTTGAAGGCAATTCTACGAGTTTGTAACTAAAATGGACTTCGTGATTAACTAGTCCAACCCTTCATTGACATGGTTATAAAGAGCCTTGCTCAAGATCATAAATTTTATTAAGGATGGGAGCTAGAAATCTACCTATATTGCAGAGCGCACTTGAATAAAGGGAAAATAACAAAAAGAAGCTTAAGACCTTTGCTTATAAACATTAGGCTATTTTCTTTTAAAAAGATAAATCCTAGTGCTCTAGCTTCCAATTGCTGCCTAGCAACCCACCATAGAACTAAGTGGCTTCAGAGCAGTTTCTTACCCGTCACGTTTCTCTGGGAGAGAATACTACTTGGCTCGTCTGGATAGTTCTCTCTTGGGGTGTTTCATGCAGTTGGAATAGAGGGTGTCTGGGGCAGGACACCTCAGAAGGCTTCTTTGCTCACAGGCCTGGTACCCGAGCTGGGAGGGCTGGAAAGCTAGGTCAGACATCTCTCTCCACGTGGATAGGTTGGACTTCTCACACATGGTGGTTCCAGGCAACATGGCAGCTGGCTTCCCTCAGAGCCACTGTTTGAAGAGGACATTGTGAGGCAACTTCTGCTTGATTTTATTGGCTACACAGGACCAGCCTAGATACCTGGGAAGGGATTATAAAAGGGCATGAATACTAGGAGACAGGACTCACTGAGAACCACCTTTGAAGACTACCAATGACACATAATGTCACCACTACTCTTTAGAAATGACACGTTTTAATATTTTAATAAACAAAGTGAGAAGTAGTCCTAAAACCTATAACTTATGCTAGGGTGACACTAGGGGCCACTTGGGATGGATGGAAAAACAGAGTTTGTAGTTAGAAAAGCCTGAATTCAATTCCAAGCACTATAATTTACTAACTGTGAGACCCGAAGCAGATGATATAATTACGCTGAGTCTGAGTTTCAATATGTATTCTACATAATTAGAATGACATTTAGGTCAAAGTATTATTTATAAAAATAAAAAATGAGTTTTAACCTCTTCACACATAATAGTTGCTCAATACGTTTTAGTTCTTCTTACCCTCAGCCATCTCTGGAATCCAGAAATCTAGATAGGTATTCATTGAACACATGTATGTTTGAGTGTCTGGTGGGAAAGGTTCTGTGCCAGGAAATGGTGATTCAAAGGTTCACAAGACATGTTCCCTTCCTTCAAGGAACTCATACCCTGGGAGGAAGAAAAAAGGGAGGGAAAGGTGGAGGAAGAAAGTGTAAACACACATTGAGTGAGGTACTACAATGAAGGCAGACTACATGCTAGTGTGGGAACACAGAGGAGGGAACAGTCCACTTTAGAGAGGAGGCCTCATGGAAGGCTTCATAGAGAAGAGAATACTGAGCAGCAGCATGAAAAACAGGAGCTTACCACACGCAGGAGGTGGGGAAGGGAAAACCAGAAGAGCAGAAGTAGCATGTGCAAAGACACAGAAGCACAAAATACCACCAAGAAGTGAAAGCAGTTTGGTGACGCTGAAGTAAGAACAGTGGGAAATGAAGTCAGGTAGAAATATAGATAAGAGGGCTACTTTGGAAGTCATCATGGTAGCTTAGGCAAGAGATGATAAAGGCCTGAAGCAGAGCTGGAGTGGAGATGAAGAGGAGATGAATGAGAGGGAGATCTCAGGAGTAAAATGAAAGAACTGCCTGGCTATCCAGAAGGAGGAAAGAAGAAATCCAGAGACAATGCCTAGAGATCTCTGGTTAGGAGGATGCAGTGGATGGTTCGGTCGTTAGCTTATAGCGTGTATCCAGGAGGAAGAATGGATAGGTGGTAATGAATTTGGTTTTGAACACACCAAGCTTGAGATGTCTGCAGGACATTCAAAGAGAATTAATTGTTCCACATACAGTTGAATTTATGAGTCTGGAATTTGTGGGAGTTGGTTGGGCAGGAGAGAGAGATTTGGGAGTTGCTTGACAATTTGAAGAAGTCTTTTCAGAAGTTAATCTTTTCCAGTCTAGCCAGTAAATAAATGATGTCTGAGTTGTAATAATTGTTTAAACAGCCATTGCTTTTGGCTTGACTTTTTCTTTTTTTTAAATTGCCTTTAAAAAATTATATATATATATATATATATATATATATATATATATATATATATATATATGTTATTGATTTAGAGAGGTAAGGAGAGGGAGAGATAAAAAACATCAATGATGAGAGAGAAGCATTGATTGGCTGCTTCCTGCATACACACCCCACCCCCACTGGGGATCTAGGCTGCAACCCCAGGCATGTGCCCTGACCTCCTGGTCCATAGGTCCATGCTCAACCACTGAGCCTCACTGGCCAGGCTAAAATATCCTTCTTAATTAAAAGATGTAAACAAAGGAAAGTTTGTAAAGGATTGCAGGAGTATACCACATAGATCAAACATCTATATATATAAAAGCCTAAGCCACCAGCCAACCGGCTGACTGGCTAGTAGCTATGATGTGCACTGACCACCAGGGGGCAGATGCTCAACACAGGAGCTGCCAAGCTGCAGTGATTTGGAAGCTTCAAATCTCAGGTGACGCACCCAGAACCAGAGAGGAGGGAGCCTGATTCTGGGGTGCATCACCCAAGAACCACCCTCTTGCAATCTGGGACCCCTCAGGAGATGTCAGAGAGCTGGTTTCATCTTGGTCCCCACAGGCCAGGCCGAAGGATCCCACCAGTGCCGGAATTCATGCACCAGGCCTCTAGTCTGACAATAATTTCCACAGCAGAAAAAAACTTTTCCAATTCCTGTATCACAAACTAGCAATATCTACCGTACCTTAACTGATGGTCTATTAGTTAATTCCATAATAATCACAACTACATCATATACAGACATACTTTGAAGATATTGTGGGTTCAGTTCCAGAGCACCACAAGAAAGAGTGTCATAATCTTTTTGCTGGTGGAGGGCCTTTTCTTCCATTTATAAAAATCACATGTGTGAACCACATTAAAACGGATATGACTTTGCCCCAAACAAATGGAATAGACTGATTCTTCCTAGCTTACAAGGGTAGCATATAGAGTTAGGGTCTCATAAAAGTGACAGACTTATTGAAACTTTGATTTAACTATTTTCACCAAAGATCAGTATCATTTGTACTTACTCTTCTCGAGACCCTGTAAGAGCAGTCATTAGGAATGAGAAACTATAAGTTCTAATTTCCATTCTCCTACTATCTAACATAACTAGTTCTCAAACTTTTGGGAACTTCAGAATTTCCTACAAAGCTTTTTAAAAATCAGATTTCAGAGCCTCAGCCCCAATTATTCTCATTTAGTAGGTCTAGGGTATATACAATTTTAACAAGTTTTGCAGGTGATCCTGTTAAAACTGTATAGACAAACCAA